AACAGTGTCTTCTAGGTTCAGAAGTACGAAAAACCAAGAGGTTCTTGAAGTAAAACTTCAAAATTGACATTAAAAACTCATTTATTTTATGTTGCTCAGTTGAAAACTATTTCATAAACGCTTTAATTTTTAAATGAAAACATTTGTCTTTAAAGTTTCTTTAGTTACCAGAGTACACTGTAAGAAACATCTCCTAAATGTAATGATCAGGTGTACAGATTAAGTATGTTATATGAAAACTATTTTGGAACCTCACCATATCATTACAGTCAATGTCACCACATCCTGTCAAGTTCTATCTGGTGGCCATGCATCATGACTATGGCCCTACAACACTGTTTTTATTGCAAAAGGCTCTGTCATAAGGCTGTCATCCTCAAAGCATACCACTCTTCCCTGCTTGCTTTCATAATTCATCTAGTATATGAGGATAGCAGTTTTCCACTCCAATTTCAACAGTCCAATTGCATAGAAATTCATAGATGCTTCATCTGGTGATTTGACCAATGTTTCCTTATGGAATAGCATGAATACCAGTTTCATTCTCCTGGTGCTTGAGGTATACAATGGATGAAGAGATATGTCCTGGAAGCAAAGTGTATACACTTGACTTGTGTCACTTTTCCAGATGGACAAGCATGTGGTATATTGTTGTCTGGAACACGTGGCTCGCTTTTGCCACTGACCTTTGTGTTTGTGGATTTTCACCTGTTCCAAGATACTACATCTTGCTTTCCATAGCACCTCCAGTAAATCCATATTTCCTTGTTTTCAATACCATAAAGTACAAGAGATATTCCCATCTATAAAATCTCTGATCTGAACTCATCTTTATGTATGAATATTTTGCTTTGGGAAGGGTTGTTACATACCCTTCCCAAAAGGTATAAATTTTTATTTAGCATCATGCTATCTATGCTATGCTATGCCACATAATGTCAAAAGGTAGTTCTGATACATACCATTCCACCACAAACTTATATTGGCTATGGTTTCACATGATTTGCTGATTTTCATATTGAAATTGATTTGATATAATGTACTCAACCCTCCATATATTTCTACCTGGTTTATTAAACTCTTCATTATTTTTCTCATTGACATTTACCATAAGAAACAACTATTTAATCATGAAAAATTATTAATCTTTCATCAAAAAGTCATCTCAAAGAGAAATTATTTAAATTATTAAAATGAAAGTAATTAATAACATGTTGAAGGAAAACCTGTAAGGGAATTACACACAGATAAACATTGGCAGTAATATATGAAAATATCCAATAGTTTTGAAAGTATCAAATACTGTGTGAATCTAGTTTTTTAAATTCAATGTCGGGTCATTTAAATATAAATATTGATATAAATAATACACTTGCATTTCTCTGTCCAGAACTTGCAACTTTCTCAATCAAATGCTACAAATCTCGTATCATTAGAAAGATATTTGTCCAAGGAGTCCATTTTGTATATTGACTTTTCCATTCACAATCACCCAAGCTATTTTTTGCTTAATCAAACTTTTCAATGCAATGAGTATACTACACAATGTCATTGTCATCACGTGACAACTGGCTTCGATTTCAACTTTATTTTTTTATTTGTATAGTATTTCACACAAATAACACAACCCACATGTAATTTCCTTAAAAAAATACAATTGCTATGGGCTTTCTTGACTTATTTAGGTCTAAAATATGCTTGAACAGTTCCACTTTGTGAACACACATTCAGATGTTTCTGCATAATTAGCTAAGTTTGCCTTCATTACAACTTAACATTTACTTTACTTTGCAATAATTTAGCTTTGTTTCATTTCATAAACTTTTTTCTTTACTAAGAGTTTTATTCTTCGTTTTTGTGAGTTTTTGTTTCAACTAATAAAACAGTGTTACAAATTGAATGCTCATAATGTTTCATATTCTGTACACTATTATAAGTACCATTACTATACTTTATTGTTTACTTTATATGTACTTTTATAAATAAAGTTACATCTACACGAGTTTGTTTTTGCCTGACCACGTAAAATTGTTTTCAAATAGACGAAGAAAGCGTAGCTTTAATGCCGTGCATGAAAACCATAGAATAAGAAAAATTCAAGTGAAAGGCATGAAAACTACCACAAATGTTTTGCAGGTTGTGGCTTGCCTTTATACAAATATGTTCTATAGATTTCACATACAGAATTATTTATGTTCAAGGTGTGTGTGTATGTGTTTGTATGTGTGTATCTTACTTTTCTAAAAAGAATATGCATGTTTCTAATGTTTGTGTAAAACTTTAGAAACTAAGTAGAGGCTACTTTTAATGAAATGTTTTAGCCATGGCTTTTAGAAAGGTGATTTTTGATCTATATTTTTTAGCTACATTATACATTATCTTCTTCCCTAGGTATACAGTGTTGTTGATGAGATGTTTCTTGCTGGGGAGATCAGAGAGACAAGCCAGACTAAAGTTCTCAAACAGTTACTTGTATATAATTCATTGGAGTAAATCATATACCTCTCGTATAATTCTGTGTTGTCTTTTGAAGTATAGTTTACAACTGAAAGACATGAAGAAGTCAACTGTGGACACCATTAGACCAAGAATATTTTCAGTACAAGTTTGTAAGAAATTAGTTCCACAGTATTGTATTATTTCTTTAAATTCATGAATTTTGATTTGATGATGTTATAATATTTTGAAAATATGTTTCAAAGGGCTTTAAAAATGAAAACTATTCTAGCAGAGTGTAACTATAAATATGTAACTAGGAAAGTTTTTCAAGAATTTATTGATAATTTTACAGATCATTTAACAAATTGCATTTAAGAAATAAAGGTAATTTACTAAGACATTTTTATTTTATATCAAATTAAGTTTCTAAGAAAGCAAAATGTTAATTTCATGACATATAGCATTATAATAATATATGTATTCTTATTTTTTCCTCCTAAACCAAAGTACACTTTTGTGAGAATAACTTGTAAGTGAGAATCTGCATAACAGTTTAAGTTTTCTTCAGTATTTATCTCATGAAAATGATTTAACATTTGTATACATACTTAATATGAAAAGTTTTCCTGATGGAGCATTCATATTGTAATTGCTTTGCTATCTCAAGGCCAATTTAATTGTTTGTGAAACAACAGTTATTTTGGGAGAGGATCAAGAATAGCCTAGTAGTTAGAGTTGCAGACCATGAACCCAAGGCTCCATGGTTTGCACCATATTACAGCAAATCCCAATCTGCATTGTGCAACTGTGGGAGCATTGTGAGAGTAAATGTCAAGTTCCACTATTCAATTAGAGTAACCCAAGAATTGGTGGATGTTACCTTCCTTTTAGTCTATCAAATAAAAATTGGGGATGATTAGTGCAGATAGTCTTTGTAGCTTTATGAGAATGTCCGAAATCAACAGTGGGTAAAATTTGGTCATGAAACAATGGTCAATTTTGGGGAAAATATAGTTTCTAAAGTTTCTACCAATGCAAATAGTTTTCCTTAATGCATAACGGTCTATCCTATATTACTTTGACATTTGCTAAGATTTATTGACATAACTCTTATCTGGTTTAGTACTTAACGTCTTATTAGAAAAATTCCATTTTATGTTTATTGAGTTGTACTTTTTTAGCCCACCATGCTGGCCAGCAAGATTTTCAGCTGAATTAAAAATAAAAATTTGGTATGCATTATTAGTAGATATATTGACAATAAATGTTTCTTTTTGATCTCATATGTGTGTGTGTGTATATATATATCTATATATACACACATATTTTAATAAAATGTTTGGTCATGATGAAATAACATCTTAGTATTTAGAGATGAAACATACACTTAAAAGTAACTATCAAATAAAAGCTTATTTGAAGATAATTTTTAAGATATTAAAAAGATATTGTGATAATTTTGATTTTTTTATTATTTCCTTGGCTCGGAATCAAACCTAATACCATTCATACACCAAATAGGTGCTTTACCAACTGTGCTAAATGGCCAACCCCCTAAAGCTTACTAGTAAAACACTTTTTTTTTAACAAATCAAACTCCTACATCCTTTCTCTCTCACAACCACAGCTCATCCTTGAGCCTAATCTCAGGGTTGGGGATAATAATTTAAATATTTTACTGCTGCCTTAGCTTGGATTCAAATCTGAAATATCTCGCATGTAGCTGCTTTACCAAGTGAACTAAAGTGCTAATATTTGCTTATAAAATACATTTTTAACAAGTAATTCCAACAACCACAGTATTTTTGTTACTTTCCATGTCTTCTGAAAACTTTTTTTGTTGAATATTCTCAGTGTCTATAGTTGTTTTGAATAACAACTGATGTGGTTGTTAGAAAACTTAGAGAACAAAGAATGAATAATAAATAAATCTTTATTTCATTTTAATTGCCTTATTTCTAATCATTTTGCAATTATGATTATGGAAGAGGCCACATTCTCATTATATTTCTAGCTTGGCATCTGGTTACTTGTAAAGATAAAGAATATAAAATTATAATTTTCGTATTATCTTTTACCTTTTTTGTTTTGAAGAGCTTTTATACTATTGAAATATTTGATAATTTATGAAGTTAAAAAGGAATTCCTTATTGAAGACACCCAAATTTCAGCCTTAGAATGTCTACAGTTTTCGCACATCTTAGAAAACTAAAAGAAGAACTTAGCACTGGAAAGCTTTTGCAAAATATCAAAATTGAAAATGCTTCATAATTTAACACCTTTCCTAAAAGTTAAAGATATTTTCAGTCAAACTTTTGGTGATAAGGGTAATTAAGCATTTAATGATGACTGGTATGTTAAAATGTAACAAAACAATAAATGTGAAAATTCTTATATTTATTTCTTCAGATTCAACCATTTTTCTCATTATTTAATTTTGACAAAATTGTGGGAATTCTGTGATGGACTTTATTACATTTAGCTATTACTAAACTAACAATCTGTAGAATACATGCTTACTCAGTATTTTCTGTCCTCATTATTTAGTAAGATAAACTTTAAAGTTCACATCAAATTTTCTAAATTTTTGTATTATAATAATTTGAGTTTTAATATAGAAAATTGATCAAAGAAGTAGCCAAATTCCTTTTACTCATGTTACCTATTTTTCTGGGTCATTCACTTAAGGTATCACCTGACTCACCAGTAGACAACAATTGATACCTTGAGATTATAACCTTCCTTTTTTATCAGTGATGAATACATAAATGTTGCAGATGCAAGCTCAAAGGAGAATGAAGAGAAATACCCTGCACACACAAAATATAACAGTTTGGAACAGAACAGTATCAATAAAAGTACAGAATGCTTTCAGTGTTAATGATGGTGTATAGCAAATAAATGAGCTCAGAATACAAAAAAAGAAAAATGTGTCACTCCGAGATAACATATTTAAACTTACTACAGCAAAGTATCAAAGAACCTAACAAAGTAGAAGAAACATCTTGTAGTGATGATGATGATACGTGGTAAATAAATGAATAATAATTAAGTTCAGAGGACAACCAACAAAAGTGCCATACAGAGACGACACATTTAAATTTACTGCAACAAAGAACACAGCGAACTAGGAGATACTTCTAGTCATGGGTGTCTGCAGGAGGGGGGGGGGGAGACTTTCCTTTAGAAAATAAGAAACATATTTCTTTATTCATTCTTCTTATTTTGTATAAAAACCAGCTGTAAGGTCATTATTAGTTTACAAAGCACGAAAACTTGCAAGTAAAGAATGCATTTTCCCACTTTAACTCAAAAAGATGTATAATGTATACTTATGGCTACTTTCATCCTAAGAAGCATTAAAACAGATTTCTTGTGGGGTATGATACAAAGAGTGCTATAAATGCTTTCAACAATGAAGATATGAAATAATATTTAAGACGTGTGTGGGTTATTATCCACAAAAATAGATATAAAATATACACTTGTCTACATACATGTTTGGCTCATTTCATTTACAAAAGAAAGAAATATCTGAGTATTTATCATTGATAATGGTACAGTGTAGCTCTTACTGAACTCAGTTTCTTTGCAAGAAGCTGATGAAATATTATTGATATATGTTATGTATTCGGCTAAACCTACATCAAGAAACATGTAAATATGAATCAGGAAAAAATTAAAACTATGAAGGAAAAAAAGAGCACGTTTCTAAACTATTGTCTGAGGCCAAACCAGACGATCATGTGTATGATGAACAGATTGACGTTACGCGGACAACTACAATAATAATTACTTCAAAGTTCTTTCAGAAGCAAAGAAAGAATGAAACAATTGTTACGACAGCGGAGGTCACGTGACCCTAGTAACACGTCATGCTCTTCTCGAACTTCACGTCCCTT